CTTATCTACCTATGACTACCAAATGGCCTCCTTTTTATGTATTTCACTATTTGGATTACTAGAACTTCTAATCTGGTCTGTTTGGATAAATTTATTGGCCAGGCCACATCTTAGCCCAGTAACCAGTCCTTTGTATGGAGATTGGACAGGTCTTTAATCTGACCTTTATGGGGATGGTCTTTAAGGGAGCTGTGCCTTAGACAGGGAGGGTGGGTTAATGGCTTACTTTTCCTGGGGTTGTATGACGGGCACAATGACTGATATGTCTGGTAGCCCTTGGAAGTTTGTTATGGTTGAATTTGGTAGTTATAGTTGTGTGCTTTGGATACATGTAATGGTTGGATTTGGTCTATATCCTATTTTCTGGTTACTTTTGTCTATAATCCCTGGGGCACAGATGGAAAGAAAACAAAGACCCTTTATATTTGGGAGCACAAATCTGAATGTCCATTCATTGATATTCGGAACCTCCTGGGGGTAATCTTCGAATTTTTATCTTTTTCACCCCACAAGTTTAAAACATAGAGGATTGCCTAGTGACAAAGTAGAGCTGTACTTAGGCAAAAGGTCAAGTAGGCAATGAAGCTTTGTTGTCAGGGTAATTCTTTCCTCTTCAATCCAGAGTCATCTGACACCCTAGTAAATGAAAGGGTGCTGAAGTTTATATGGACATGATGTGACAAAGTCAGCAGGCACTGTGAAATCACATCTTTGCCTCATATCCTATAGCCTTGGGAAAACAAATGAGCTTCACTGAACCTTAATTGCCTCATTAAGGCAATGTAAATGTTTTTGCAAGGTTGTTTTAAATACTGCATGAAAGAAATGGGGCATGTGGATGATTATTTAATAAATGCTTACACAAAATTAGAGGTGGAAAAGGCACCTAAATGTGTTCATTTTACAGACGTGGAAATTGGGGTCCAGAGTTTAATTGTTTGAGTTTAATCAGCTACTTAATTCCAGTCAAACTAGAATCCAGGTCTCCTGACTTCCCAGGCCAATTCCCAGACTATTGCAGGCTCCCTCTAAGTTTTTTTTTTTTTTTAAAGATTTATTTATTTATGCATACAAGAACTGGGGTACAGGCCAGTGGTGCAGGGGGAGGGTAGGAGGATTCACCAGAGACAGAGTGGGGAACAGAACAGGCAGACTGAAAATTCACTGCTGAGGCAGCAGGTGAATCAGGAGAGGTCTGCCTTACCATGTGGGTCGGCTCCCTCACAGGCCAGGGATTGAACTCGTGCTGCAGAGGCTGTGGATGGCTTCACAGTGCTGTGCTTAACCCCTTGTGCCACCAGGGAGGCCCTCCCTCTAAGTTTTTGCACAATTCTCAAGCTGTGAGTATGTGTGTTCAATAAGCACACATTTTTATAATTAAACTAAAAGCTCCTAAAGGTCTTTTCTCGAAAAAAAAAAATTTGTTTCTTATTTACTGTGAAGAGTGAATAAATATTAAATAGCCCTAGGGACCTCCCTGGTGGCGCAAGGGGTTAAGACACAACCTATGAAGTGATCCACAGCCATTGCAGCACGAATTCAATCCCCGGGCAGGGAGCTGACCCACATGGCGCAGCAGACCTCTCCTGACTCACCCGATGCTCCCCTCAGCAATGTGTTTTGTCAGTCTGCCCATTCTGTTCCCCGCTCTGTCTCTGGTGAATCCTCTCACCCCCCCACCCCACACCTCTGGCCTGTACCCTAGTTCTTGAATGCATAAAAAAACTTTAAAAAATATATTAAATAACCCTAGAGGAACCTATGTTTTAATAGTAACTCAAGTCTTAGAGGAGTTAAACTCCTTAGCTAGGTATCCATGGGCCTTCTTGGCCTCTTGCAGTCATTCCAGCCACAGGACTACCTCCTGCAGCTCTGTGGCCAAGAGTAAAGCCAAGTCTTCTTTTTGGCAACCAGATGCTCAGAGCTAACAGCCATGAAACCCAAGGTGATCCCGACTCACCTGGCTGAACATTACAATCCAGAAGTGTTCTCTATGCCATGCATTCTTCTGCCCCTTGAGAAAATCAGGGAATGGTGCAGTGGAAACTTTGTGTAATCCAGTCTATTTTCAATTACCAAGTATTTGGCTTTTAAGAAATGTTTAAAGAATTAGATTCTAGATCTAAGTGGAATGCAATTGTTCTGTCCATGTGATTGTTACTTTTTTTTTGCTCAAAAATGCAACACTTTTGAGGTATGTCTTCCTTCTTCCATTTATCATAATTTCTTCACAAACACCTATTAATTTATGCAAAACACAAAGACTGATATCTGCTTGGTATGATTTCCTTTCTTGGTTACCTGCTTTTCCCCTAACCACCTTCATTTTTTTTTTTTTTTAACTTGAACTCTTTACAGCTATGTGTCATGATGTAGGTCTCATTACATTTAGATAACCTTGTATTTTTTTAGTTTCATGCACTTGTATATCTAGTTCCTTCCCCAGTTTCGGAGCATTTTCTTCTATTATTTCTTTGAATAAGTCTGTGTTCCCTTCTGCTATCTTTCCCTTCTGAGATACTCATTTTACTTAACATGGAGTTTAGGAGATTTTGAAGTGTTTCTTCATTTTTTTCGTTGTATTTCTTTTTCTTCCACTTGGGTCCTTTGTGCATTATGACCTTCAAGGTCACTAATTTGGTCCTCCATTTGATCTAGTCTGTTTCCTTAGCTTTCTGCAGAATTTTAAAATCTCTTCCAATGATCTTTTTGCATCCTAAAACTCCCTTATTTTCTGTTTAAATCTTCTGTTTATTAATTTTATTTCTTATGACATTTATGCCTGTTTACTGTCTTAGATCTTCTCTCCAGCAGTTCTTCACTCTCCATCAGTAGCAAGTTGGTAGCCTCAGGGGATGCCCACGAGAGCCCTTCTCATACTGGCCACCAGCTAACAGGATTCCCTTTGTTTGTAGGCTGTACTTATTGTCTTTATTCTCATACTCTGACTACAAACTCTGGGTGCAGGCCTGGAGGTCATGTAGGGGGAGGGATTCTTGGCTTCCCTGACTCTCCAAACCCCATTCAAGGCCCTCTACAGGCAAGACTAGCAGCTCTATGTCTGGAGTGCCTGTACTCTTCCATGGACCAAGGAAGTACAGGGGCAGGGAAGCAAGGCCAGAGATCACGGCCTCCACTGATACACCAAGGTGGGCACAAAAACCCCCTGCTCAGCTGGATTGTGAGGCTGCCCGCAGCCTCTGCAGCGCCAGTTCAATCCCTGGCCACCAGCGAGGGTCCCACAAAAACAAACAAAAAAAAAAAAAAAAAAAAAAAACAAACAAACCTTGCTCAGTGGACTGTATTCACTGCTGACTTGCAGGTTCTTACTACATTTTCTGGGGGGAGGCCCAGAGATCACATGTAAAGAAGAGAGGTGGGTGACTTCCCTGGCTACTCAAGGTAAGTCCAGGCAATCCTGGGAGCTCAGATATTGTGTGGCGGATATAAGAGTGGTTCTCTCCATTGCTGAAAGTAGTTACTGGCTGCCCAGTTGCCCTTCACTGAATAATTGAACAAACTATGCTCTTGCTGAGAAGCATGCACACCCCGCCTTAAACCAGGGCTAAAGGAGAGTTCAGGGGATTCAGTGCGGGAGGGGCAGGTCTCCTTCCTGGCACTATTCTTGACTTAGTGTTTCTCAGTCTTTCCTACCCTTTCCAGTGGCTTCTGTCTTTCCTCCTTGCTGAGACACTGGCCCTAATGTCACAAGCTCCGTCCAGTTGTTTCTGCTCCTTCCAGATGCCTATCTTCAGTGTCCATGAGGGAAGTGATGATTCAAGGATCCTGTCCAGCCACCATTGTCTGCCCTCTATTTTTTAAAAAAGATTTATTTATTTATGCATACAAGAACTCTGGTATAGGCCAGAGGTGTGGGGGGTGAGAGGAGTCACCAGAGACAGAGTGTTGAACAGAACAGGCAGACTGACTGAAATACACTGCTGAGGGGAGCAGCAGGCGAGCCAGGAGAGGTCTGCTGTGCCATATGGGTAGCTCCCTGGCTGGGGATCACTTCATCGGTTGTGTCTCAACCCCCTGTGCCACTAGTGAGGCCGCTGCCCTCTATTTTTTTTTTTTTCCATGTTTAGAGAGCCGTCAGGCCCTGCTTTATTATGTTATCCGGCCATCTGTGACCCTCTGCCCTCTATTTTTTAATTAAATTGCTTTTATTGAGGTAATATCAGTTTACAACACTGTCTATGTTTTAGGAGTATAAGATGAAAGTATTTCATCTTTATAAACTCAGAAACTATTCACGCCTTTATAAATGCATGTTATTACACCACGCCCATAACCAAAGCACCACAATCCTCTACCATCCTCCACTGAGCTCTCCCTCCTCTTTACTCCTCAACCTTCCTCCTTACACCTTTGGTAGCCTTAGCTCTGCAGTCAGAGTCCTAGATTTGTTTTTTTTTTAAGATTTATCTATTTATGCATACAAGAGCTGGGGTACAGGCCAGAGGTGTGTGTGTGGGGGGGTGAGAGGATTCACCAGAGACAGAGTGGGGAGCAGAACAGGCAGACTGGCTGAAGTACACTGCTGAGGGGAGCAGCGGGTGAGACAGGAGGGGTCTGCTGCGCCATGTGTGTATCTCCCTGGACAGCCGGGGATCGAACTCGTGCTGCAGAGGCTGCGGATTGTGCGGTGCTTCATAGTGAGGTGCTTAACCCCTTGTGCCACCAGGGAGGCCCCCCTAGATTTGTTTTGCTTTCGTTTTGTTTGTCCTTTGTTGGGTTTTTTTTTTTTTTTTGTATGAGTGAAATCATCCAGTATTTCACAGAGTATAGGTGAAGTCTCATTCATGTGGCAGTTGTGAAGATTTCATCATTTTTATAGCTGAGTAGCATGAACATTGTGTACATATACCACATCTTCTTGTCCACTTATTTGATATTGGGCCCTTAGGTTGTTTATATAGTTTCACTATTGTAAATAGTGCTGCAATGAATATAAGAGTGCATATATTTCTTAAAGTCAATGTATTTGTGTTCTTCAGATAGATACCTGAGAGAGATTGTTGGACCATATGAAAGATTTATTTTCAGCATTTTGAGCAACTTCCATGCTGTTTTCCGGAAGGCCAGGTCAGTCTATATTCCCACCAACATTGTATGAGTGTTCATATGTCAATACACCCTCGGCACTAGCAGAGGGCCCTCCCACTGATTTTGAAAGGAATTGAATTTTAATTAATTTTATATAATTTTTACATCATTTTTCATTTTTGTACAATGTATGTATTTTCATCTTGGTTATAATCCCCATGAAATTCCCACCACCCATTCACCAGTAACCTGTCACCATGGTTCCTTGTGCTCTTCCCACCCCTGTTTTGATCCTACTCCTATAATATTATAATAAGTTTTTTCCTGATCCCTTATTTTTTTTTAAGATTTATTTATTTGTACAAGGACTGGGATACAGGCCAGAGGTGCAGGAGAGTGAGAGGATTCACCAGAGACAGAACAAGGAACAGAGCAGGTAGATGGACTGAAGACACTGCTGAGGGGAGCAGCAGGAGAGACAGGAGAGGTCTGCTGTGCCATGTGGATATCTACCTGGCCGGCTGGGAATTGAACCCCTGCTGCAGAGGCTGTGGACAGCTTCACAGCGCCTTGCTCAACCCACTGCGCCACCGGGGAGGCCCCCGATCCTTTTTTGGATCCTCTACAAGGAATAGAATTTTTATTAGGATGGCAAGCTCAAGGGGGAAGTCTAATTATAGCAAAGTATCCTCGATACACTTGAATTCTTACAAGCTTTCATCTTTCACAGTTTTCTCCAACTCTTACCCTTCTTTTTAAGAGGTCCTAAAAGGGAGAAACAAAGCTATCAACATGAAACCATTTTTGACGTTTTCAGAGATTCTCTAGGTTATCGTTCACATGTGCATGCTGTTCTACCTGCATTCTTCCTACATGTAAGGGATTTTGAAAAATATATCTAGTGATTTGTACTTGTTGAATTTTCTCTAACTTAATTTATTTTCTCTTAAGGTTAAGAACATTTATAAATTTGTAAGTACCAGAAGTATTTAGCACACAATGAATTAGGTTTAAAGAAAACAATCAAATCAGATTTAGAACATTTCTCCAAGATAAGGAAATGCACCAGAGTCTAATGATTAATTGAAAAACAAAACAAGGCAGCTAAAATATCCCTGAACTGGTTTCTAAAATGTGCTCCTTGGCATTATGAAATAGAAGGCTGCACTACTGATTTTTTTGAAGTGAAAGTCTGATAGGAAAATTAATAACTGCATAGCTCTTTATTTCACACTAACGTTAACTTTTTTTTTTCCTTGCCAAACATTTGGCTATGAACAAAGACATTTCTCCTTGGTACCTTTTCCAGACTGCTCAGGGGATCATCTCCTTTGTTTCCAATAAATATTCCACTAAATTTCCAAGTCAAATTTCTTGAAAAGTAAAAGAGGTCACCATACCTTTGTAGAGATTGATAGTAAAGCAAATTTTATGTTGTTGTACATAAACTCCTGCTTTGTATTTTCCCCTACTAATTGGGTTCTCTGTAGTCTAAGGATCAGTTGTTGGTAAACAAGTTAATTCTGGAAATGCTCATATCTGAAGAAAACTGGTAAATGATGTCAAACCTAATCCATTGGTTGTTAAAAATGATTGAAATTGGGGCCTCCCTGATGGCACAAGGGGTTAAGACAACCTATGACGCAATCCACAGCCTCTGCAATACAAGTTCGATCCCCCAGCCAGACAGGGAGCAACCCACATGGAGCAGCAGACCTCTCCTGTCTCGCTTGCTGCTCCCCTCAGCAATGTATTTCGTCAGTCTGCCTGTTCTGTTCCCTACTCTGTGTCTGGTGAATCCTCTTACCATCCACACCTCTGGCTTATACTCCAGTTCTTGCATGCATGCATAAATAAATCTTTAAAAAATATATTGAAATTGTTAAATTGACAACATAACCAAAGTGTATAAATTCACAAATAAATATTTCTTGAGCTATCAACTACACTCAAAGCCAACTTCATATTGTGTTACTCACAGGGGAGCAGGTAGGTGCTTGGAATACATTTTAATTAGTGATTAGAATCCTGACAGTTAGCTAGCAAATTAGAAACAAGAGATGAGCTCTTTCTAGCTTGTTGTTTCTAACTTGCTCTAACTGAGCAAGAAATTGACTTTCACACCCAAATCAATCTCTGTAACTGAAATTTTCTAGTGCATTCTGCTCAATAGCAGTGCCACTATAGTTTTACTTGTGGTTTAGTTTGGAGTTCACACAAACTTCTTTCTCTGTATCTCATCTTCCTAAGAAATACTCTATACACCTGGAAGATCTAATTATATCTATTTGTATAAGTAAAACTCAAAATGGTGATGGGCTTATCACAAGTCCCTTATATCAGGGACTCACAGACTAACGAACCTTGAAAAATAGTAGAGGAAGCAGCAGTGACAACAGTACTTAAAAGTAGTAAAAATGATAAAAAGGAGTATTTAATGTTTACTAAATGCCTCCGGCCTGGGCACTGTGCCAGCCACTTTATATCCAAGTACAAATTCATTTTACAGAGAAACCAAATGTCGCATAGGTGAAATAACCTGTTGACACCTTGACCTCAGATTTTGGCCTCTAGAATTATGAGAGAATAAATTTCTGCTTTTTTAAACCACTAAGTTTTTGGCAAATGGCTGTGAGGCAAGTCACAGGAAATGAATACAACCCATAACCCCTTCTATGAATACAACCCCTTCTAGAGTGAGGTTCCCTTTTCCCACTCTCTGGTAATGCCAGGATATTGTTTATTTCACCTTGACTTTAACCTCACTTCTTTGGGGCTCTACTTTCTCATTTATTCAATGGGGGGTGGAGGTTGGCTTGCATATAGTGCAATAATGACTTGACACGAGCCAAGATGAATGACCCCTTCAAACTCTGTTAGAACATTCTATGCCCAGATTGGAACAAACTTATATATAGCACATTAATTTATGTTGTGCAACTCTATTTTTAATTTTAAAAATTTATATTATGTAAGTGGAAGCGGGCAGCAATTTTCACAAGAAAGTAGTGGGAAAACTTTCTGCTCCAGGCCTTCAGCTTCTGGTTGCAGGATCATCATCCTCTGAACCCCCAAGGATCATCTTCCAAGAATTTTTTGGTATTGTTGGAAGTGCTAGGCAAGGTTAATGCACAGACAGCAAAAGTTGGGAAAATGAAAATTGGAAAAGGGGAGATATAATAGAGAGAAGTAAGAAAGAGTAAAGCAAGGTAATGGGGTAGGAAGGAGACCAGAAAGTGGTATTTTGTGGAAAGAAGCTTGTGATGACCCCATGCAGGAATGCAGATTATCCCATTAAAAATAGTATGATTGTATTTTAAATTATGTATGAAAAAAAGGGCATCACAGAACTATCAAATTGTTGAACTATGAGAGTTACAAATGATTTAACACTTAAGTGCATAGGTGGGGTGCACTAGGAAGCCTCTTCTTAGCTGTGTAACTTGAATTTTTTTCAATTGTTATTTCCTCATCTGTGAAACGAATGTCATACTCGTAGCCACCTCGTAAGGCAGTCTGTGGATTAAATAAAATGTTGATAATTAAAATCCTGGCATATTTTAAGCCCTCACTATTGTTGTTATTATTACTAGCTTATTAAGTCAGTACCAGAAAACTATAAGCCTCATACAGAATTTCACCCTAGAAATTGCAACTCAATGTAGCACCTACAAGTGTGTCAATTAGCAGTTTAATTAAGAACTAGGTGTCATAAAATTTAAATTATCTTTTTAAATTATCTGTTTCTAGTTTCTTTTTTATAATGAAACTGAATATTTTCCAAGTCTGTTTGCTAAGCATGGAAAAAACCATCCCTACAATAGTAAGAAGTTTGGTTTAATAGTTTTGCGGACCATTGATTTCTAAATTTGAGGCATTGCTGCTTTATATGTGGCTGTAGAATTGCAAACTGTGTTCTTACCATTATTGTTTGTTATGTGAAATTGTGCTGTCTCATTATATTGTTGATTAAAGAAAGTTCTATTTGTTAAAATACATTTGTAGTGGAAATTACATTTACCCACAACTCTGTAGTGTACACATTAGTACTACAATCCTTAGCTCAGTATTCATAATTTCTGAATCTGTAATATCACTGGACTGTGCATGACCTTTGTCTCCCCTGGCATAATTGCAATAAACTTAATTATATGAATAGATATATTGCAATAAACTTAATTATATGAACATATTAAACTGGTAAATACAGCTGTTCTCTGTCACTAGATATATTACATCCTAGAAATAACACTGTTTTTACAAAATGACTTCCAAGGAAGACAAATCTGTTAAAATCCTTCAATTCATCAGAATTTATGCTGTTATTATGGAGTGAGAGGTTATTATCCCTATTTTGCCAAAAAGTACAAGGGCACCAGTGCCTTCATTAAGGCCAACAGCTGTTCTCTGATTTGACCAAGATAATAATCTGAACCATCTATTATAATCCTCTTTCCAGTCTACAACATTTTACTATAATATTGAAAAACTTATGTGAAACCACAAAAACTACTAAGTCCTAAATCAGATGTAATTCCTTTAAATATTCCATGGATCTGAGAACTACTCAGAAACTAATAAAGATTATGTGCCCTATTGAATGGAATGCTATTTTGGTTGGATTGTGAAAATTCATTAAGGTCTCTATGTGAATAGTAATAAAAATGTACTACCTATTAAAGTTGCCCATTTGCTTATTTTGCCCACCAATTTCAGATATAAGCTTTGGCATTTCAACAAAATTAAAGACCACTTATTTTGCATGACCCATTCCTTGCAGTTGATTATTATTCCCCAGAAATTTCCCTGAGCCAAGTCTCACAGCTAAAGTATTTCTTTAACAAAAAGTAATAATTGTGAATAGTTATAATAACTCCAAAAATAATATGAAATAGATGGCGCTGCCAGGGATTAACAAATGAAGAGGATAAATGAATGACTTATATATTAAAGGATAAATGAATGCTGATAAGAAGTAGTAAATGCACACTTCTGTCTGCCAGAAATATAACCTTTGGCAGTTGTATGTCATGATTGAA